CCGAAATCCTGACTTCGCCACTGTGTAGATTATCGGGTTTGATAAAGAAAATGGCAAACTCGAAGTTAATAACAGAAAGAAAATGAATAAAAAGGATAGTGAGTCACAACAAACGGAGCACACGTGTAAGCGCATGTAAACGAGTTTACAAAGCTGCGCAGGAATAACTATATACTCAAACATACATATAAATATATACATAAGTACATATGTATATTGAAGTAATATTGAAAATAAACCCACACACAGACAACTGCAGAAGGTAATACCCTGAAGACAAAGTCAGCCAAAAGTATGCATAAAAAGCAAATTATTTCCCAAACAACATCAACAACATTAACCGAGGCAACGAACAACAAAACATCGACCAAAGACCATGACACCAAATTCTATTCAGTAAATTTTCTTGTCCTCTACGCGTTTTCTTATTTTAGTTTCAATGGCAATACTTAGAGCAAAGTGGTTGTGGTGGCAGTTGCCATAATTTGCTTTTTTATATTTACTTTACACAAACTTTCTACTTCGAAATCCTGCGCCAATTGGCAGCACAGACTACCAAAAAAAATAAAAAATACGTGGTAGCAGTTGCCATAAGCGTGTGACGCCACTGCACACCTCTGTACATGCATACACACGCAAAGTGCAACGAGTAAGGGATGCAATGACGAACGGAAAGCGCACAACAAACGGAAGGACACAACAGAACGCAATGCATAAGGGGTGTGGGTTTGGGCTGAAAGGTTGCTCAAAGGTGTATTGGCCGCAAATATTTACACTTATTGCGTGCGTGTATGTAGTGACAAGCAGCAAGCAGCAAGCAGCGGCGCCAAACGTGCAACGCCCATCGACAGGCAACAAGCGCAGCTGGCGAGTTGGCTAGCAATACAAAGTGGCAACAGCACCGATGGCCAATTGCATGCATCAGTTGCATCGAGTGACACAAATGATTAGTCACTGTGGTCGTTGTCCTGCCACGGCACGGCACAGCACTGAACAGCCCAGCCCAACCCAGACAGGCCAGCTTTGTGTCCAGCTATAGCCAAACGGAAGGTTTCAGTTACAGTTTTGGTTGCTGTTGCCACACGTTGCACCCAACGCATGTGTCTGGGCGTCTATAGCAACTGCTGCCAGACAATGTTCTATGTAAACAAATAAGCCATAATTGAATGAATGAAATGACACAGTTAATACATTGTTTGGCAGAGGACAGTTAGCAAACAGTAATAAATTTATGTAATGTTAGCGCAATTTGGGAAGCTATGATATACATAAATACAGCAGCAAATCCAATTGAAATTATTCACTAAAAGCCAAGCAAAAAGTATGCAAACATATCTCTACATGTATTTTTACGAATGTTTGTATGTAAATACATACCATAAATGCATATCTAGGTATGAATATTGGAATAAGAGTAAATATTGTATAGCTGAAAGCTTTGCGATTGCCATGTACCTATACTATTACATAGCTAGCGTTTGCTTTGGTTTTGCCATTGTAGCTGGTGTAAGCGTGATGTAATGGTCGGTTCAATAAACTTTGGCAACAACGGGGCGCTTTTTCGGTTTATGCAAGCTACCAAGCTATACATATGTACATACATACATACATATGTAAGTCTAAGTGAAGATGTTCATCGGTGTATGTTTTGCGCTTTTAGTTTTTTGCACTTTGTAGTCATGGCGATTGTAGTACATACACTACATATACTATGTAGGCAGAGCGGAGTAAGGTGCCGCCGAAGGATATAAGAGTGGCGGCCCTTCATTGTTTTTTCGATATCTGCTTCTAATACCTAGACGCATCTTTTAAATATACATATATACTGTATATAATATACATATCGTCACCTGAAACGCAAACAGACGTAAAAAACATCATCGTCGAAAAGCAAAAAGTCATAACTAATAAAAAAAATCTAAATTCACTTTTTGATTTACAAAGTCTTGGCACAGCAAATTTTTCACAATATATGCAACAATTTTTATTCTAATATTTTTGCGCCAATTTTGTATAAAAATATCGTTCATTCCATAACAAAAAACAAAAATATAATTCCTAAACTTTGTGCAAAACTCGCGAAAATTTAGCAAATTTTCATCAAAATTTTCAGCTTTTTAATCAGATTTTTTAGAATTTTTTTGAGTATGGTTTTACATTTTTTCCATACAAAGTATTTTTGAACAAAAAATTTTTGTATGGAAGAGACTGTGGAAAAAAATTGCCAAAAATCAACGGTAATTCCTAGCTACTTAAAACTTGCACTACAAATCTGCATACTCAAAAAAATTCTAAGAAATCGGATTAAAAAGATTAAAGTTTTCATGAAAATTTGCGAGTTTTGCATAAAGTTTAGGAATTATATTTTTATTATGTTTTTTGTTGTAGAATGAACCATGTTTTGATATGAAATTAGCGGAAAAATATTAGATTGAAAATTGTTGCATATATTGTGAAAAATTTGCTGTGCCAATACTTTGTTCCGGCAGTGTACATATATGGTGGATTTCATCGACACATTTTATGGAAAAAAAATTAAAATATTATTCACGACTTGTTTCATTTCATTTACGATGTTGTTATGTCTTTTTGCATTTCAGGTGGCGATATGTATCTATGTGGGTATGCAAGATTCGCCCTGCGACTTTGATGTAGTCATATAATCAATGCATCAGTCCTTCGCATATTTACATGAGCATTTTGATATATACATATATATACTATTTATGTTATATTTATGTTAGGGCGAGTCAATTCGTATGGGAGAGTTTTTCGGCTATGAGCGTATAGCACAGAAATATTCTACCGGTGCCGATTTACCAAAGAAACCATTGGTCTAAAATCAATTTGGAGTTTGCCAAATTGCGAAAATAGGTTTCTTGGCATTTTGCTGTAGTTTCGTAAAGAAGTGCTTAAATTATCTACATATGCTAAGAAGGCTCTTTTGGTATGAGGAATTCATTTATGCACTTATCTTTTTTTTAACTTCCGCCAGAGGGCGCAACATTAAAAATTTTCACAACCTACTTTGGCAATTTGACAAACACCAAATTGGTTTCAGACACATGGTTTCTTCGGCAAATTTACTTAGATTTACACGTAGAATCCTCCTATGCTATACACGCATAGTCAAAAAAAAAAAAAAAGACCCGCCCTAATGTACGTACATACCGTAGTACATCGTATATTATTAAGTTATGTACGGGAAATTAAGTTTTATCCGAAAACTTAAAGAAACCAAAACTATAATTTTACCAGTTTTATAACGCTTATCAAAATATTTATGGTCAAGATGGATCGCATCTTAAAATCGCATTTTAGTAGTATAGTTGGAAATCTTTTTTCTAAAAAGAGGTCAAATGAGTCCTAGTCCGGTAAGGACTTCTAATGCAAATTTATTAACTTCTGAATGTATTCTGAATTGCTCCACAAAGTCGCAGCCAAAACAGTGATGAAATCTTACAGTCTTTCCATTTGTTGCACTTGTCATTCGTAACGGCTTTGATGTACTCAAATTTTTTTTAACCTGATCACTAAACTGTGGGATCTCGGAGCCAGGCCATCTAATCAGTCGACTCGATATCTTCAACAGAGAGTAACGACATTCCATACATCAATTTACATTAAGGGCCAACTTTTCGGCATTTGCATTTGAGTAGTGCCAAAGAATTAATAAATATGGAAAGGATTCAACGTTTTCAAGTATCATGATCTTTGGATAGTTAAACTTGGTGGGATCTTGGTTCGCTCTCTGCTTCGAGCAACTCCAAAATTTATCATTGGGCTCTAATTCTAACCACCCCGGTCACGATTAACCCTAGTGCATAGTTATGTACATATAAAGATTGTTTAAGAAATAATTTTTAATAATATTTAATAATAACTTATTTTGAAGCTGGTTAAAAATGTGTGAAAAATGTGCTCCCTTTCAGTATGAACTTTGTTTTGTTAAAATGGTAAATTTATGAACTGAACTTTTTTGTATCTTTACCTTGAAAACTTCTAGTTAAAGGCCTTGTTTGAGCAAGTATCGCGGATACTAAAAAGTGTCGACGCTTTAATGATTGCTGTTAATCAGTTTTATACTATGTAATAAGATTTAATGAAAAACTCTAACCGGGTGGGACGTATGAGATCTGAAGGGTCATGATGGTAGAGTTTAATAAGGAAGGGTATAAAAGTATCTACATATTCGCAAATCCAACAAGCCCTAAACTAGCAATCGATAATTCTTTCAGAGTTATACGTAGATCAAAGTTATCGGGTTATTTTTTATGTTTTTAATTTTTTTATTAAGTTGACACTACACTTTACTTAATAATACTTATATATACTTAATAACACTACCTGCATTATTTTATGATTGATGGTTTCTTGCTTATTATCCATTTATGTTGTATTGGATATAAAGCTTTTTCATTAACTTTGCAAACATTAAATTTTGATTGTAACATTTTTTTATTTCGACTTCAAAAAATTGATCATTTTCATAAACATTTCTTGATTGTTTTTAAAAGTAGACTTACTAAAAGTTAATTTTCAAAATCTTACAGAAATGCTTATTGGGTCGTATTTAAACTTGTAACAGCAGTGTCTATTCAATTTAGAAATAGGAAGAGGTCATAAAAGCAAAGCAATTTGATTTTTGTTTGCTTTTCATATTTAATTTAAAAATACTTGGAAGTATGATTATTATCCATACTTTTTTGCAGATATGTACTACTAGTACTAGTATCGGTAATTTACTCAAAGGTTCTATCACTATCCGCACACAACTGGTTTTTTCTAACTGCGGTCGCTCCACGGCTGGCAATGTTAAACTTGTGAGGCCACTTCTGCCATGAACTAATTTCTCTTCTAAATTAATTTATCTTCTACTCTTCTGTGCTAAAAATTTAGTTTTCTAATATTTTT